TCTTGAGTGACTATTTCAAAGACTTAAGAAATTCAGCAGCTGAGTTATATATGTTTGTGTCATCTCTTAACTTTTATAAGCAGGCACTATATTTAAATTTTTCTTCCTACCTTTGAGTATAGCTTCATAAATCCATGTATTGGGCTCTTATCTGTTACATGATACTGCTGAATGGCCATTTGATCTGATGAAAAGGCATCCATTCTCTTAATAAGCGTTTTATTCTCCTAGTTTCTCAGTCTTCACTGCCACTGTTGTTGTTGTTAATGTGCCATCAAGTCGCCAGCGACTCATAGCGACCCTGTATACAATAGCCCTAAATCCTGCTCTATCCTGTGCCAATCTCATTGTCTCTGACACACTTACCCCCATTACCCCAGACACTGAATCAATCCAATTTATCAAGGGTCTTCCTCTCTTGTACTGTCCCTCCACCCTACCAACCATGGCATCCCTCTTCAATAACTGGTTCCTCCTTTCAGTATGTTCAAAATATGTCAGATGAAGCCTCAGAATCCTTGCCTCCAAGGAGCAGCCTGGTTTAGCCTTCACCAGGACGAACATTATGTTTGGCTTAATCCTTTATTGTTTTTTATCTAAGTGTGTCAGAGATGGGGAGGTTGCTTCAGGATAAGGCTAGGTTCCAAGCCACTTTTCACAGGGTTGCTATAAGACTTAGTTGAATCAGTGGTCCATAACAATTAACAATGATAAGGTATGCTACTGTCCAAAAAGAATTTTTTTTTAAGTTGTTTGTTGCTTTGGTTTTTTTATATATTACTCTTTATGTGCAAAGTTCTTTGCTCTGTTCTATGTAGACTAGAAAGGTGAATCAGGCATGAGTCCTGTCTACAGGTCTTTGACTCTAGCAAAGACAATTATACCCATTGCTGTTTAGTTATTCAGAGTCATAGGAACCTAGGATAGAACAGAACTGCCCAGGATCTCCAGGGCTATAATTTTTATGGACATAGACTACCTCCCCCCATGCCCCCCTCCACACACAGCTTAGTCTGTTCAAACTACTCACCTTGTAGTTAGCAACTAAGTATTTTGGTTGCTGTGCTACCAGGGATTCTTAAATTATAAAGGACATGAAATGAATAACTGTTATGAAATGAAATAATAGTCTTTTTCAATTGGAACATTTTGCAGGAGAGAAGCAATTGAAGATAAGCCTTGACGAATATAAGTAGAGGCATTCCCTCCCCACCCCATTTCCCTTTGAGAAGGGAGGTCCGTCCCTTTGGGGAATGTAGCTTTCTAATAAATTTATTTTTACTATTTTGTCCTCAGGGGAGAGAAAGAATATGAGGAGAATTCTGGGGTTTTTTTTTTTTTATTTTTTAATTTTTACTTTAGTGAGAGTTTACAGAGAAGCTGGTTCTTCATTCATCCATTCATTGATACATATTTTCTTCCCGAGCCTTCCCATGGTTCAGTTGGTAATGCATGTCCTGTTCTACATTGTTAAGTGCCGTACACATAATGTCTAACCATCAATTTCTTTCAGATTGACCTTCCTTTGTGTATTCCAGTGCAGTGTTCATTATCTGCTCTTTCTTAATATGCTCTCCCTCTCACCATCCTATTTTTATAATAGTAGTATTTGTCCTTGTATGACTGAGTTTATTCAGCATAATGTCTACCAGACACCTCCATGTTGTATAGTGCTATATGTGTTCTTTTTTCCCCAGTACTAAGTAGTATTCTGTTGTATGAATGTACTACAGTTTCTCTATTCATTCGTCAGAAGGCTGCTTTCATCTCCTTGCTATTGTGAATAATGCTGCAATAACATATGTGTGCATACATATGTTTGTATCAAAACTCTAATTTCTACAGTGAGGATGGTGGAAGCAGAGGTTAGGATGGGTGATAATCATAGGGTCGCACAATGTGAGGGTAGAGGGAGGAGTGGTAAAGAAAATGGGAAGGATCTGCTGTAAAAAATAATGTTATGAACTTTGTAAGTAAACCAGTATAAAACACAAAATCTGTTGTTGTTATGTGCCATCTGAGTTGCCTGTGACTCATAACTACCCCAGATACAACAGCTCTAAAGTCTGCCCTGTCCTGAGCCAGTCTCACTGACTTCGACACACCTTCTACTATGCCATTGCCTTAGTTACTTTGTCAGTACATCTCATCCAGAGTCTTCCTCTCCTACACTGTCCCTCCACCCTTCTGAGCTTGAGGTCCTTCTCCAAGGAGCAGTCCCTCCTGGCCACATGCCCAAAGTATGTGAGATGGAGCTTCCATATCCTAGCCTCCTAGGAGAATCTTGGTTTCACCCTCTCCAAGAAAGACCCATTTGTTTTCTTGGTGGTCCATGGTATGTTTAAGACTCTTCTCCAGCACAACTCAAAGACATCATTTCCTCTTTTGTCATCCTTAGTCATTGTCCAACTCTCTGATGCATAGCAAGGAATAGCAAAGACCATGGCCTGAATCAGGTATACCTTAGTCTCTACACTGACATCTTAGTACTCTGGAAAGGTCCCCGACAGCAGATTTACCTAATGCATTTCACCTTTTGATTTCCTGACTGCTAGTGCCAAGAGCTCTTAATTTCTTTAGGATATATTTTTTATATTCTGTATATTCTTTAGGGTGGAGGGACAGCACAAGAGAGGAAGACCCTCGATGAGATGGATTGATTCAATGACTGGGGTAATAGGGGTAGGTGTGTCAAAGACAGTAAGATTGACACAGGATAGAGCAGGGTTTAGGGCTGTTGTACATAGGGTCACTATAAGTCGCAGGTGACTCGATGGCACGTATATAACAACATATTTCCAGTAGTGAGATAACTGGGTGAGGTGGTATTTCTGTTTTCAACTTTTTGAGGAAGTGCCAGACTGCCTTCTGTAGTAGTTGTACCATTTTGCATTCCCACCAGCAGTGAATACGAGTTCCAATCACTCTGCATCCTGACGACATTTGTTTGCTGTCCTGTTGAACTTTGTTGCTAGGGTGAAATAGGATTTTTATATGTAGAGTCAGAGAAAGGGCTTTCAAAGGAAATATTAAGAAGCAAAAGGTATTCATTCAGCCTAAGATGTGTCCAAGGAATCATGCAGAATCCATTTTGGTAAAAACAAAAAGGCTGTGTTAGGCAGCAGTAAAATAAAATCAGAAGTAGATAGAGACCATGTAGTGGGAAGCTATAAATGCCAGGGCAAGGGATTTTTTATAAATTTGGTACGCACTGGGAAGAAATCCAACATTTTTCAACAGAGAAGGAAGTGTTGCCTAAAAATCACAACATTGGTATAAAAATTTTACTAAATGCAGCTTCTTACCTCAGTGTTTGTGTTCCACATGGTGGGAACCACTGTACTCCACATTGCTTATTTACAGGCCGTCTTTATCTAGACCAGGGACTTTGGACCTCAGCACTACTGACATTTTAGTCATTGTAGGGTGTTTAGCGTAATCCCTGGCCTCTAACCACTCGGTGCCAGTAGTGCCCTCTTGCCCTTTAGTTGTAACCAGCCAGAGATGTCTTCACACACTGCCAGTGTGCCCTGAGGGATGAATTTGAGCCAGACTGCTCCTTAGAGGCAAGCACTCTGAAGCTTCATCTGACATATTTTGGGCATGTTACAAGGAGGGACTGGTCCTTGGAGAGGGACATCATGTTTGGGAGAGTGGAGGTGGGATGGATCAATTCAGTGATTGGGGTGGTGGGAATGTGTGTGTTGGAGTTGGTAAGGTTGGTACAGGATAGAGCAGAGTTTAGGGCTCTTGTACGTAGGGTCGCTATGAGTCGACTCAAAGGTACTTAACAACAACATTCTTTGGAGCACTATTGGTTTAGATGCTTGTGTTGCACTCCTTTGATGTTCTAGGCATTGCTAGCTGGTAGCAAATCATAAGTCCCTTAAGCATCCAATCTGTTAAATACCTTAGGATTTTGTATCAGGCCTTTGACCTTGAAGGTTCTTTCCCACTCTGATCCTGTGTCTCAACTTCATAATGAGTTCAGTGCTTTATTATCTTGCATTTTTTTTTGAAAGTTGACACGCATTGGTCTAGAATGTATATTAACCAACAAGAGTGACTGTATTTCATATTGAGTAAGAAAAATGTTTATGGTTCAGTGTTTGCATTAGTTTTCTAGGGCTGCCATGACAAAGTACCACAAACTGGATGACTTAAAACAACACAAATTTATTCTCTCAGAGTTTTGGCAACTGGAAATCTAAAATCAAGGTGTTCGTAAAACCATGGTGTCTCTGGAAATCATTGGCATTTCTTGAGAAGTCACTCTAGACTCTGCCTCTATATCGTATGGTGTTTTCTTTGTATGTGTGACCCTTTATTATATCTGCAGAGTGAAACCTATTTCAGATTAGTCACATTCACTTGTACTGGAAGTTAGGAATTCCATGTATTTTTTTTGTTTGATTAGGTTTCCCCCCCTTTACAGTAGCATTTTTTATTTTTAAAAAAAACCCACAAAAACCAAACCAACAACCAGCTTCACAAATACAGCACTCATCAACTGCTGTCACATTTTTTCCCTCACACACGCACTGCTCACTACTGATGATGGTGTGGTTTGAACTGCAGTCCACAATAACCACAAATAGTAGTTTTCCTTTCTCTGTCCAAGTTTCTGTACATCCTGGGGTAGCCCTGGGCACCCCCACCACCATCGCAGGCTCAGGCAGCTCTCCACCTTGCTCACTCGCTGCTCAGCAGTCAGGTCTGTGGCAGAGTTCTCATTCACCTCTTTCTCACGACCTAGAAACTGAATTTGCCTGTAATGTGTAGTGTCATAAACCTGGCCAGTGTGCAGGATCTGTGATGTCCACACACCAAAGCACCTGGCGACTGGGCAGGCTCAGCGTGGCTATGTGACCCCTGCCGAGGAGCCTGTGAAAGGTCACCGCCACCATCTCGCCCCATGTATTTTTTTTTAAGGACACATTTAAATTCTTAACTATGCTTTATTGTATTAAGTAATAAGAAAAATTTTAAATGTTTTTTAGATTATTTGAAGAATCTCCTAGAAGACTCCGGAGATTACAGAGACACTCAAGGTAAATGTTTCTCGTAGCCCCTTATGTTACAGAAATTTTTATATTGTTATATTGGTAACAAAGCCAGTGCAGAATTATTTCATTCTTGGGAGGATCTGAAGCCTCTTTTTAAACTCAATTTTGGGTACATGAAAATGGAACTAGATAAAGTTATAAAATAGTAATAGGGGCAGGAGCGGCCATAGGGACAGTGAGCTATATAATTAGTCAACTATGTGAGCTGCCCTACTGTCTGAGGGACTTTGTCTCTTTGATACATTTCATTTTTCCATTTCTGCTCCCATCTGTAGAAAGCAGGGATTTGATCAGATGATCTCCACGTTTCCTTTACACTGTCAAATCATGAGTCCATGAAACGATTAAACTATTCAAAGTAAATATCAGGTCTGAAGGTCCACGTTTTCCTGATACTGTTTAAAGATAGGACATTAGCTGTCTCTTTCTCTCCTCCCAGTGGTATTTAAATTTTCATTAAATACAAGTTTGCAGTTAAACAGTACTCACCTTTTGGGGCTGACTACTTCCATCAGGACCAGGGTAACCTCAGATAGACACAGTCATCTTCCCGCTTTCTCAGTGGCATTGCTGCTGTCACACTGTAAAGGACATTTCTTAGTGAGGAATTATACCAAGTGTAACTCTGGTGGCTCAGCGGTAAAGAATTACACCGCCAACACAAAGGGACGCAGTTGGAATCCACTAGATTCTTCCAACAAGGACGGGCTGTGTCCTACCTTTTGATTTACTGCCTCCGAAAATGTGCTGGAGGGTCAGCCTTCAGTCAGTTCTGACTCAGTGATACACAGTAGCGGCCTTTCAGGATGTTTAACCCACTGGATGCTAGTAGAGAGAAAGTTTCACGGAGGGAAAGTCCAGTCACTGAGACTACCAAAAGTGAACTGCACACATGCCCAGATGGCCCCTTGGTGAGCACTGCTGTTTTGTGTTGAAAACTACATCTCAAAAGCAGACAAAACAGAAAATTTTATTACTATTTTTTACTTTTACTAGTATTTATTCATAATAACAAAGATGACAAGTCTGTAAGATTAAACAAAATTTGCTAAAGGCAAAATTAAAAACCAACAGTCAAACAAACCCAGAAGTCTCCATTGATTCCTGTGTATGGCGGCCCAGGTGTTGTGGAGGGGAACTGTACTCCTTAGAGTTTGCAATGCCATGCTCTTTCAAAAGCGATTTCCAGATTTCCCGGCCCCTCTTCCCAGGTGCACCTAGTGTGTTCAGCCACCTAATCCTTCAGTTAGTAGTTGAGCACTTAATTGTCACCCAGAGGCACTTTGCTAAGCATGAGGATTAATGAAAAAGACAAAAAGTCTCTTGAAGTCCAATAGTCTGCCTTAAAGGATAATGCTTTTTGCTTTCTAAGGTCAAATATTCTTTCATTTGACAAATATTTCTAACTTCTATTTCTGACTCTTGCCTCTCTGTAACAAAGAGAAAGTATTCAAAGCCTTTACAGGACAAGCTTCTAGGTGAGAAACTATCCTTATCCTAGTTAATCTTCACTAAAAATACCAGATCTCACTACCAACCAATGGTGCACATTGTCTAGTATATATTGGAATCTTTTTTTTGCTCATATTATTCCATAAATATTGTGTTTCCTTGGTTTTGTTCTCATGAACTACATCAGTTCTACAGTCAGTAGACTTCTGTGGAGGTTGCTTGCTATTATTGATAAGCTAACTCACCCAGTAGAATTGCTTAATGCTGCAAATAGTTTGAATGGTATTGACTAAAGCCTCCTTCTGTTTCTATGCATTTTAGATGCACTTGCTGTTGTTATAGAGGTTGCCAACCATGCAAATGACACTATGAAACAAGGAGTAAGTATCTTGATCTTAAGAGCTGGTATATGATTGAACCTGGGAACCTGAACCTTCATACATTCTCTACTTTCTCTATCTATAGGACAATTTTCAGAAACTTATGCAAATTCAGTACAGTTTAAATGGCCACCATGAAATAGTGCAGCCTGGACGGGTAAGTGTTTTAAGCTACTATTTGCAAATTTATATTATGTTGCATTTAGCTGCAATGTGTAGATAATTTTCCTTTCTATAATGAAAATAGATTCTGGTTATTGTGAGTGATACCGATACTGATCAGCTGAGTCCATTCTATCCATTCAAAACATTCATGGTTCAAGTCACTGTGGCCAAAAGAATCCAATTCAATTAGGAAAATAACGAGAAACCCTACAGAGTATCTGATTAAATGGGATCGTTTTATTGCATAATACTAGATGATCTCACACAGCTTGGAAGACAATTTCATTTACAATCTTTCATTTCCAAATAGACTTATATTAAAAAAGAGACCAAGAGAAGAAGAAAATTGGTATTTAATGCTCCTTATAGAGCACAAAATTAGTCTAGAGAACGAGTTTGGGAAAATTCCAGATGCAATTTTTAGGATGTTAATATGCCTCAGGATCAAGTGCACACTTGGTCAATTACATGACAGATCACATGTACCCCTGGGGCCAGTATTGACTTTTTCTTTTTTTAAATTTCAGTATGGGATTTTTCAAACTCTGCTTGCTTCCCTATTTAGTGTCATCCCTAAATAACTTAAAGGGTTTTAATTAAGCCATGATTGTATAAAAGTCACAATGAAACTATATTCCGCTTCCAACCAAAAAAAAACAGATAACTGGAGAAAGAAACTTTACACACAAACACGTACGAGATATATATATATATATAGTAGTTGTTGTTATGTGCCATCTAGTCGCTTGCAACTCATAGCGATCCTATGTACAACAGCCCTAAACTCTGCTCTGTCCTGTGCCAATCGCACTGTCTCTGACACTCCCATCCCGATTATCCCAGTCACTGAATCAATCCACCTCATAGAGGGCCTTCCCCTCCTGCGCTGTCCCTCCACCCTCCCAAGCATGATATCCTTCTCCAAGGACCGGTCTCTCCTCACAACATGTCCAAAGAATGTTAGATGGAGCCTCAGAATCCTTGCCTCCAAGGAGCCACCTGGTTTAACCCTTTCCAGGACAAATCTGTTTGTTTACCTAGCAGTCCATGGTATACTCAGTACTCTTCTCCCGCACCACAGCTCAAGGCATCAATTCTCCTTCTATCCTCCCTAGTCATTGTCCAACTCTCTGATGCATAACAAGTGACTGCAAAGACCATGACCTGTATCAAACGCACCTTAGTCTCCAGAGAGACACCATTGCTCTTCAGTACTCTGGGGAGGTCCCTAACAGCAGACTTTCCCATGGCAATGCGCCTTTTAATTTCCTGGCTGCTGGTGCCAAGAGTGTTGACTGTGGAGCCAAGCAAACTAAAGCTGTGTACAATCTCAATCTCTTCACCATCCATCCTGATGCTGCCAGTTGGTCCAGTGGTGAGAATCTTTGTCTTCTTGACATTGAGCCTCAATCCATTTTGGAGGCTGCAGTCCTTGACACTCTGCAGCAGGCGCTTCAGGTCCTCCTCAGTTTCAGCAAGCAGGGTTGTGTCATCTGCATAACGCAGATTGTTGATAAATCATCCCCCAATCTTGACCCCACATTTCTCCTCATAGAGCCCAGCCTCCCGGATAATCTGTTCTGCATATAGGTTGGAAAGGTATGGAGATAGGATGCATCCCTGGTGTAGGCCCTTCCCAATTTTGAACCATGCAGTGTTCCCTTGTTCTGTTCTGACGTCTGCCTCCTGGTCCAAGTATAGGTTTCACATTAGAATGGTCAAGTGTTCTGGGATTTCCATTCTTCTCAGAGTCAGCCACAGTTTGTTATGATCCACACAGTCAAATGCCTCTGCATAGTCAATGAAACACAGATAGACATTCCTCTGGTATTCTCTGCTTTCAGCTAAGATCCATCTAACATCAGCTACAACATCCCTAGTACCACGACCCCTTCTAAACCCAGCCTGGACTTCTGGTAGTTCTCTGCTGATGTGCTGTTCCAGGCATTTTTGGATGATCACCCCATAGAGTCTCCAAGACTAAATGTCACACCTTTCTCCAGAATATCTGGTGTGTTTTAACTGGTGACCTTTTTGTTAGCTTTAACTGTTGTACCCTCAGGGCTTTTCATACACTCACATACATATGCACTTCTATATGCAGTGTAGTCATGTTAGGATGGTAGGATTAAATATTTGGCATCTCAAGTGATCTTTTTGTGCTCTCCCCACTCTAAGAGTTTAGTGGCTTATTTAGAAAATAATATAGTGCTCATAAAAATTTCTATAAAGTAGATAGTTATATAAATTAAACCGAAGTATTTTATTCAGAGGGCTATTAGCTAACTATAGTGTTATTGATAACTACATCTATCTGTCTCTCCACATACACAGAAACAAACTATGTATTTATTATAGTTGTGTTAAGGTGGCCGTAATTAAATGGACTTTTTTTTTTAATCAGGTCTTTCTGAAAGAAGGAACCTTGATGAAGCTTTCCCGGAAAGTGATGCAGCCTCGAATGTTTTTCCTGGTAAGAAGCCATGTGTCATTCTGTTGTGTTCCAGGCAGGGATAATTGCTTAATGGAAGAAGACATTTGTACAAGACAGACAAGCTTAGTATAGTTACAGTGATTTTAGTGGCATTTTTGGCTGACTGTATTGCTTATTTGCATTTCCAAGCTTAGAGAAATAAAGCCTATTATGGTGTATAGCCAGACTATTATTTCATCTAGTTTACTTTGTTATTAGTTTATTTATTTAGGCAGATTGTAATGCCTTTCTGCAATTTAGAATTTGGAAAACGTTTAATCTCTTGCAGATCTTGGAAAGGAAGCACATTTTCGAGAAATTACTTTTTAGATAATACACTCCTGAAAGATCCTAGGTGCTCAGAGAAACATAAGCAAAACCCAAGTATTTTGTACATAGAGCTATTAAAAAGTGACAAGATTTTCATTCATTTTTATGTCTCATCTATATCTTTTTAGCAGAAATATTTTTACTTTTTCCTCTAAAACATTTCTACTTGCAGTTTAATGATGCCCTGTTGTATACAACGCCGGTGCAGTCTGGGATGTTTAAATTAAACAACATGCTGTCATTGGCGGGAATGAAGGTAAGTATGTGTATCTTTATATTTATTATTTTTTTTAGTATCCAAATAGAGAAAAGGTCTTTAGATAATCATCTTTCTCATATTCATATTACTATTTATCCATTTGCTTATTTAGTCATGCATTTATTTTGTTCATTCATAGAATAATTATTACTGAGCACTAATGTTAACAAAACATAAGAAGATCTGGTGGCCTAGTAGATAAGGAATTTTGCTGCCAACCCAAAGACAAATGGTTCTGTTCCCCGAATTACTTAGCAGGAAAAAGATAGTCTCCTCTGGTGTGATTTACAGCATCTGAAAACCCCTAGAAGAGGGGTTGGTTCTGACTTGACCATATATAACAACAACTATGAACAAAACATAATAAAACATTTTGTAGGCAGTATCATGATTTGAAGCTCTGTGTGTGTGTGTGTGTGTGTGTGTGTGTGTGTGTGTGACTCTGACTTAGAAGCTTAGCAACTAGTTGAGAACTAACAAACTACCCATAAACATTTCTACAAAGTAGATAATAAAAAATATTATTTGAGTGGCACATTTCAGGGTCTTGGGCATTCACAAAAAGATACATATCAGTTTTGCTGGGCATGATGGAAGTATTGGTGGCAACTGGGAAAGGGGGAGAACTAGGATGTTTTATTAAAGGAAGAGGTAATGAGCTTTGAAGGATAGGTCACCTTTAGCAAAACTAGGATGTGGGAGAAAGACATTCCAGGTGCAGGGTTAGTAAAAACAATGCTTGGCGATGGTAACTCTGCTTGTCATCCTTGTACAGGGGCCTTATTAGTCTTCTCTATTGTTCTAATTTTAGTATATGTGTTACTGAAGTGAGCACTAGAGATGGTAACTCTGGGTTTGTATGGGGGTGTTTCAGTTCATCTGGAAACTAGAGTGAATGATCAAGAGTGGTGGTGGATAAAGCTGCTTAAGAAGGTTGGTTGCAGAGATCAGCAGCTAGGGTTCTTGAGAAGCTTTAACTGTGTTTCAGAGTTGGGATTTTCAGTACAGGATGAATTTACTTAAACTGGATTTTCTTCCAGGTCCGGAAGCCCACCCAGGAAGCATATCAGAATGAACTAAAGATTGAAAGTGTGGAGCGCTCCTTCATTCTCTCAGCCAGGTAACAATTAAAAAGGGGGGAAAAAAGCCGATATACATGAGCTTTTCCTAGATGTACAGATCAGATTTCACCAATTCAGTGTATGTGTGTTTGTACACGCTTCACACTTTCCTTCATTCACACTCTGCATCACACCGTCATTCCAGTACATTGTATTTTATAAAATTAATCACCGTTGAACTATGCCCACCATTTCCCTGTCTTTTCAGGTCCCCTCTGATCTTCTCTATTTCCTATCGCCCCTTCCTACACCCACCAATTTGTGCTACCCTGAGATTTCCCCACTGCCCACCCTCACCCCTTCACCAAGGCATTTTTATATTAATCTAATTATTACACTTTCTTTCTGCCCCCTCCACTCCTGTCTTACCCATTTCATGCAATTTACTCTTGATTTACTGTCATGAGTAAACGGCTGAATCCTGCTTAGTAATGCATTAGAAGCATGAAGATAAAAATG